TCAGTTTTATATTATTGATTTCATTTATGTTTGTATGCATTTTTCAGGTTTGGAATTCAAGATCTATGCACAAAAAATTGATTATGAAATGTAAACTGAACTTTTTCCTTTCCTTGTAAATGCACGTTTGTTTATCTCTGCAGGTTGGAACAAGTCCATTTGTATAAGTAGGCATGCATTTGGTAATCAACACCGTGCCACTGATACCATCATAAAAGGAGCAGGAAAGCTCAAAATGGTTTTTTGTAAGTTAATAATTTTTGTGTGATTATGTATTACTTATTAGTAAGTTTTTTGTTGAATATATCTACTTAATACATTTTTCATCATTTATTGATTGTTGCCGGTTCTAGAAAACGGGGAAGCACCGGTGGAGCACATCATATCTATGACTTCAAAGGCCCAGGGTTGACCTTTCTATGTACAATTTAGATCACGTATGCAACCATTTTCTTGAACTTTTGTGTCATTGCTCTTTCTTTTCTTGATTGAGTTCCTCTTATTCTTTTTTCTCTAATTGGTTCAATTTGCTAGTCAATTAGTAATAATCATCAATGTCTATCATGTACGGAGTATTTATTATTTATTTCAATACATTATACGGAGTATATATATTTATATACATACTATCTATATATCTGTATATATACTTTCCTCTGATTCTCAGTCTTAGAGAAGTGCAGCAAAGATTCAAGGTAGGTTTTTGACTTTTATGATTATTTGATGATTTGTTTGCTTAATTTCTGAATTCTTAAGTGAATGTTTTCTATAACATGTTAAGCAGCAGATTTTAAAATCATTGTTCCACTGGTGTATGAATAAGTTGTGTAATCACTAAATTGGTTATAGTATAGTACTGTTTATGTATTAAGTGTCTATACTGGTCGGAATCAATATATACTTGTCATTAAACATTTCAGGTCTTGAATTCAAGAAGTCAGAGATATATGGTCAAGATATTTTGTTGAAATATATGGTCAATATATTTTGTTGATGTTGTACTATTATGGAAAGCTGAAAAGATGTAATTCATAGACTACTACGTTGTAGGACTTCGATGGATTCAAATTACTATTTTTGAGAACAAACTTTTGTATCTCTATTTTGTTATAATTTGAATAAATATTTGATGTTTGGACATGATGTGGTCGTTTTTAAACATTTTAAATCAGGGAATAAAATTGACTACAACAAATAAATTTTTAAAAATATATATATATTAGAGGCGCTTTTGAGCTCAAAGCGCTGCAAATCAAAATTAACAAAAAAACATTAGAGGCGCTTCTTGTATATAAGCGCCGCACGCATGTAAAAATTAATAATTTTAGACGCGCTTTTCATTCATGAAGCGCCGCACGCCTCCATAATTTTTACGATTCGGAGGCGCTTCCAGTTAAATAAGCGCCGCAAGAATTCCGGGATTTTTTTTTTGTAAAAAAAATTAGAGGCGCTTCTGAATTAAAAAGCATCTCTGATAAAAATTTGCTGCAGAAAGTTTAGAGGCGCTTCGAAGCGCCGCACGTGGCAAAAAACAACGCCTCTGATTGACGATTTTCCACTAGTGACCCTAAGGTGGTGCCAAGGAGGGACTGGGAACGGAGGGGGCTCGAGCTCGGCCTCCCAAAAAATATTGTGCAATTTATATATGTTACGTAAATGCATTTTTTTTGGCAAATTACGTAAATGTACTTATTAAATATAAAAATGTAATGAAGTAATATATATAACCTCTATCCCCCTAGTATATAACCTAGCATTGGAACCTCTAAAGCTAAATCTCTAGCTCCACCACTATACATATCCATTATTCCAACGTTCATATAAATATGTGAACCATTTCAAATAATACTATTGCTTTCAAAATGATTACTGTTTCGTGCAAGGCTTAAGAATATGAGGACATTGCATATTAACTATTACTACGCATAAGACAACATTATCAGCTATTAGAAGATAAACAAAATATCCTGAATTTGTAATAATTGAATTTGATCCAGAGCGTAAAGTTAAGAAGTTAAAAGAATAAGGTTTACATTTGGGGTTACCAAAAGTTAAAAGGTGAGAGACGACAATTTCAAAAGAATAGGCAACAACAACAAAAGAAAATAAGGGTGGGCATATCAATTCGATTTAACTGAACCGAACCTTATTTATTCCAACCTAATTGAACTGAAATTGAACCAAATTATGCAATTAAGTTTGAGTTTGACAGTATTTCTTCTGAACTGTATTAGAATCAATCGAATAGAAATCGAGAAAAATCAAATAAAACCGATCTGAACAAAATAAATTTTTCACACACACATATATCAAAGTATTATTAAATACTAAAAAATCCATATCGAACCAAATCAAAATATATATGGTCTGATTTTTGTTCGGTGACTATTCTTCACATCTTTTTCAAATCAAACCTAATTGAAAATCGATAAACATCATACGGAAACCGATAAGTCCACCCTTAAAACAAAATTTTAGTCAACGATAAAGAAGTGAAGGGGGTGGCATTCACCCACACTCACATGGAAGGGAGGGTAGGGAGATATATAGAGTACGTGAGCTTGTAGGATACATGTTCGACATCTGTCATACGTTGAAAAAGAATCCGGATTTTCAGATACTAAATGGAAAGACTAGTATGTGTGTGTGTTCATGAGCTCTATATCTTATATGAACTATGTAAAGAGGTGGTCCCTTTGATAAAAATTTAATTATTTTCATTCACTAATTTCTCTTAATTCACAAGTGGATTCAAGTAACCCAATTTCATAGAACCTTGTATAGAAGTTCATTTACTTCTGCAAAACTTAGTGGGAAGCAGAACATTTTGTTTCTCATTCATGTTTCAAGTCTATGGGGAAACAAATTATTTAATTTTTATTTTCTTTTCGAATTGAGCATTAAAGGTTGCTACTTTGTTCACTAATATTATGATTTATTGTTTTAAAGTGCGTAATGTTTTGCCACATTTTGTTGAACTTTTGCTTCAGTGCCAAAGATATCATGAAGGTGGCTTGACTCTTTCATGAGTATACTAATTGATTGTTTACTTTTATGTTTTTCAAATGACACTACAAGAAACTTGATATATAGTGAGAGCACCACCCGTAATTAAAGCATATTATCCTGTCATGAAATACTTTTAATGAGGGGACTCTACTGTCACCATTCGTCACTACTGCTTCCGCGGTTAAAAGTATAGAAATTGCTCTAAATAGGAGCAAAAACGTTTTGAAATTCCAAAACAGGAGTATCACGTTCTTTATTGCTTGAATCGGAGTAATCTGCCAAGTTTAGAAAAATCTCATATTTTAAAGCCTAGTAATGCCAAACTTGGCATAAATTTACTCATATTCAAGGAATAAAAAACATGATACTCCTATTTTGGAATTTCAAAACTTTTTTACCCCTATTTAGGGAATTCTCTCTTAAAAGTATATAATGAGAGGATAGGTTCCTATCATTAATGAGTAACTAATGAGAGTGTATGTACCGTCATTAAAAATAACCACTTGTAACAGAAAATCCCGTCATGAATACATTATATCGATATCTAATATATTTTTATGACAAAAAAAAAACTGTCATTATTACAATTAAATGACCAAAAAATCTCTCATTACTATTAAAGTCACGTCATTAAAATGGTACACTTTAATGACCGAATATCCTATCATTATTCTTTTTTTATTATTAAAAGTGTCAATTTCTATGATAAATACACACACATATATACACCTAATTACTCATACATTACAATGATAACATTATATGTAATTACATTCTCATTAAAGAGATGAGGATAATAACATTACATAATGAATGTTTAACATTTATTATGTAGCAAAAATGGTATTCAAAATAAGTAACAAGTACAAAATAAATCGTTGCTAATTGTAAAAAAGAACAGCATACTTAGGTTAGTGAAAAACAACACTACAAAATTAATAGTCAAGATATATTGCTAACTAGAAGCCTAATAAGTTTGCTTTCCATATGACCTCCCAACTTGAAATATGTGGCTTTGTACGTGTTCACAATAAGTAAAGAATATTAAGTTTCACATCAATATAACAACTCTTAAAGAAAAACTAGCTCAAAACGTAAGATGTCAAACAAATGATATTAAGGTTGCAGATTAATGGAGAGTTCATATCATGTTGTTCTTCACAACTACACATGCTGTTCTTTAAGCAATAAATATGGAGAAGAGAATTCTATGCTATTCTTCACAACTGCACACGAGTTTAGAATAGTTGTGAGACACATATGTTGTTCTTCACAACTACACATACAAAAGCACGCTCCACAACTACACAAGATTAAGCAACTCTATGGTAAAAGAGAATTAAAGGTCAAGATTGCACTACTACACATGATGTTCTTCATACCAAAGTAAACCTAAATATAATAATTTATCATAGTACTTTCTAAAGTGCTCAAACTATTGCCATTGCATTATTTTCAAGGCCAACCTAAATATTCCAGCTTTTTCAGAAATAAGTCAATTTGAAGGGCCCATATCATAACATGATGAAGTTGTTCTATAATGCCACACAACAGGAATGCCTAAAACCAAATCACCTACCACTTTCCATTTTCCGGAAATAGTTTTTTCACAAAATACTAGAGTTCCTACAGATAACCTTATAACATTTAACAATCTTAGAGCTTCCAACTTCCTCTGTTCATATTCAAATAATTAGACTTGATAAAAGAGTGTGCAAGAAAAAGTACTAAGAGAATAGAGATGAAACCTCATACACAATAAATGAAAATAGTAAATAAAAGAAACCAACAAGCTTACCATTTGATGAACTTCATATGTGCTGCAAATAAGTTAAACAATCACTATTAGAAAAGAATCACAAGTAAGTAAAGTGGTTATATCATCATATAAATAGGAACACAAATGCACCTAATGAGAGTCACTACTTGGAGTTGAAGGTCGTTCCCCTAATGATGATTCAGCCCTCTCTATTTGGTTTAACCTACTTTCAATTTAATTTTATCCATGCACAACTTGAGCTCACAGTTTTCTTTATCCTTTTTGCGCAACTTTGCCTCTAGATATGTGATGTATGCCGCTTTGGTGTCACTAAAGTGTTTTCGCTTCACTCCACCTCCAGAACAATAAATAGTTCCATGTCGTTGAGGTCCAAAGTGCTTTTCAGCAACTTCAAGACTTGTAAGTGATGAATCAGACTTAACTGTCTTCACAATTTCATCCTATAAATATTAGCAAAGATAAAAAGCCAACAAGAAAATAATGAGCTGAGACTAAATAATGAGTTTAGACTATGAATGAGGGTCATGATATAGTGATACTTATATATTTTTCCTTTTCTCTTGTCCCATGTAATTTTTCATTTTTGCTCCGAGTCAAAATAAAACATCACTCCCAAATCTGGATCTTTTGCATCTTTACCTCCCTGTCAATTATAAGAAAAAATCATCAAGAACATTTATGTATGAAAATGAACATCATTGAAAAATAAACAAGTATAGTTAGTGGTTTTCCTACATTTTCATACTCCATATATGATTTGTCTATGTAGCATACATCCTGTGGGATGGCCGATGAGGCATTTCCATATCCGATGCCGACCTATTCTTAGAATTCTACTCATTGATTTTCTACACAAAAATAAAGTACTCCGTATAATAAACTATTTGCAAGATTTGGTCATTCAACATGGGGCAGCCTACCCAGGCCATAACTTTCGCCTTTCACCAACGCAAGATTCTCCCCAGCTTCTGGTTTAATTTGCAAGCTCTCTCCATCACATTCTTTAGTTCAATTTCAGCACTTGTACAATTAGAAGACACTCAAGAGTAAGCTTTTGATCCTGTTTCAAGCATTTTATTGTCCGGTTAGTAAAATGTTAGAATCTGGGATTAGACTGAGATCACTTAACTATCCCATAAATTCCCATATGGGATTTTACAGCAATGATTTCCCAGTAGAGCAATGTGTTAAAGAAAATGGCCAGGAAAGATAGAAAATGCCCCACCTTTACGTTTGCGCGTCTTGGGAGCCTGTTACATATAGTGGCTTCTTTAACCACACGCTTCCAGGAAACACCATCATATTTATATCGCTCAAGCTTCTTTTATCATTCTCTTCAAAGGTTTCAAAGCCGAACCTCATAGTCCATGTCTCCAGTAAACTGGGAATTGCAGAAAGCACGAGAGTCTCCACCTTCAATGATTTTAGCATCTAGGGCCACATTCAGGTTAATTGTATAAGTACATAATGCATAAAGCTGAAAGCATCAAACCCACCCCAGAATTTGATATGACACTACAAAAAAACAACAATATTGGCACAGACTTGGCACAGAATGGTCGAGTTTGGCACTGGTGACAAAATAGCATTGGCACGGAATGTGGCAAGGATTTCACGTATCCGTGCCAAATCCGTGCCAAATCTGTGCCAAGTCCGTGCAAATATCGTTGTTTTTTGTAGTGTCAATAGCATAGAGGGGTGGCGGAAACAAAATAAGTGAGCTTCCATTCTAAGGCATTACATCTTCCCACATAACTCACTCTATGATTCTGGATTCTAACCCTTTCCTATGAGCTATGGCCCTGTAAATTGAACTTTATCACAATTAACTAACTTGTATTATTTGATCTAAATAAGATTTTTCTGCAGCCCCAATATTAATTAAAATTTTGATTTCCACTGATTTGAAAATTATTTAAATGGACTTTAATGAACTAATGAGGAGATCATCTAAAGTTGTGCGTAGAATTGTAAAATTGTCTTTTCTTTTCTTTTTAGCCAAAAATATTATCTTTTGCATTACTGCTTTGAGTGTTATAAAAAGCGTATATGCAGGGATTGAATCAGAAAGGAATAATATCAATCAGTTTGTTAATTATAAGCTGTACAGCTGAGTCAAATAAATTACTGTTTGGTTGAAAAGTCTCTTGATTTGGTGGGAATGATTTATAAACCAAATTTCTTGGATTGCCAAATGGGTCATATCCAAACTTATTTCCCAAGTATGGGTAATTCTAAACATATTTCTCAAATAAGAGTATTTTTGTCATGTATCTACTATGTCATCACAATGTTCATATCCACTTATGTGTTGTTAACATAATGACCACTACATCATTCATTGCTCGTTTCATATCATCGAATTCGGTGAGCAGAATAGATGAAAAACCATATAAAGTTGAAGAAAGAAAACGTTCTTCTAAGTTGCATTTAGTTATATGTGTGAGGATAGCTCGACACTTGTTTGATAAGATTTTTAAAGTATTATATCATAGAAGGGAAATTGTCCTGACTAAAAACGTTTGTATATCCCAAAATAGGACTATCATGTTTTTATTCCCTAAATAGGAGTATTTGCTGTCATGTTTTGACTTTAAACATGGCAGTATTTTTCAAGCTTGACAGTAATTACTAATATTTAGGGAATAAAGACATGATAGTTTGGAATTCCCTAACATTTTTACTCCTATTTCCGGATTTTTCCATCATAGAAATACAGTTTACTTAGTTTAGCAGTATCATAGTTTCTTATTCTTATTAGGTTGAACCTTTAGATTCTCACTTCCTACACAGTCCACTATTTCCTCATACCTAATACGTAGTACCTAATATAAACACTGTAATACACTATAGAAGTTGTAAAGGCATGAAGTTGAAAAGTCAGACATATCAATAAAGCTAGTAGCTTGGTTATTATTTGACAAAGATGTTTGGTTTTTTATGTACCTCCTCTATGCAATTCATAAGCCGGCGGCACATTCCCTTGCGGCGGTATTTGCTGCAAGTTGCAATTAAAGGTAACTCCGCTACCTTGGTCCCATGGATCCTGTTTCATGAGATGGTTTTTGAAAGATCAAATTCTGTCACTTCAAGGAGAAACAAGGAAAGAACATTCTTTTTTTATATCTGAAAGGAGCAGATAGAACATTGTGAAGGGTAGGTTAAATTTCATTCATTCATTCATTCATTTAAATTGGCAAACATAACTCTAGATGGCAAAATTTTGATGTAAAACGTGAGTAGACAAGCATATGAAATAATATGGATAGTTTAATAGTTTTGCAGTGACTTTAAAGAAATGAGGAAAAGTGCAAACGTTGGAAATTAAGAAACATTGAAAAATATGACTAAACTATAAAATAATGGATTAAAATGTGATTTCTAATTGGATAGTTTAATAGTTTTGCAGTGACTATAGTGACTATATTGATTTTGAATATTTTGGCAGTGACTATAATGACCATTCATGTTTTTGTATATGAGTTTTATTTTAGCAATAATCTAGGGACACTTTTAAAAGCTAATAGAACACTGTAGCCACTGGTATGGAATCTGAATGTCTTAAATTGTGGCCACTGTTGGAATTCTCATGAATGTAGTAAATTCTTCTTTATCATTATTATTGTCTATATTGTGTTAGGAGGTTTGTTAGTAGGAAAGTTATAGTTTTCTACAGACACATCAAAATACTCTATGTAAGAGGGTTTTCTTGTACAGTTGTAATTTTATTAAAATAAAAGACATGGACAAAATATAATTACAAATAACTATAGCCAAATCAAGAATACCATCATAGCCACTGCATAGTAAAATAGAACATTGGCATGATCACTACAGTCATTGCGAAACTAACACTATAATCACAGCGGTGTATATGTCACAATTTTTAATCATACATTTTTCATTATTTCTTTATTAAAAGAAGCTTGGACTATAAGTCACCTAATTGTTGCTACCGACACCATAATGTCGTCGTCTTCCAAAACAACAGTGTAAAATCCGCGGTAGTCCAGACGCCCGAGCTGTGATCTGCAAAGAAGTAAAGTTAAAGACAGTACTTTGGAACATAATAAAGAGGGAATGATGGTACGAAGTCTGCACACACCCCCAATTATAGATAACTTGAGGTATCATGTCTATGCCCGTTTTAGGATCCACCAATGGAAGAAAACTTTCCTCCATAATGGTAAGGGCCACTGCTAACTTGGAGTTGCATTCTGCAATGAAAGGACGAAGCAGCTGGACCGAATGACTGTTCTGGTCATGAGGGATGCACTTCAAAAGTGTCCAGGAGAAGCCATCACTTAGCTGATTCGATAGTCCAATGAGAGACTTAAGATGGGTGTAAACGTGCATAAAGTGGATCAGAATGGACCATTGAAAGTCAGTAAATAGCAAATTTGAACATGTCAAAACTACTATGGCTATGTTTGGAGAGCGGAAAATGGTAGGGTAAGGAAGAAAATGATGCCTGTCAAATTAGTTTCTTATGTCTGGTTTAAACTTCGAAAGTATTTCGGTAACTCATGATTAGCTTTGGTTACAATTATAAGTTGCTGATTTTGAATTACTTGCTGTTTTTTTCTGTGTCACTATATCAGAACATCACACTTAGCAGTTCTTTTGTAGTTAAGATTCTTATCAATGTGTAAAATTCCTGAAGTGCAATCAGTAATCCACAACAACAGTTCTTTAAAACAAGAACTGAAAAAGATTTAGGTGTTGTGGACCTGTGGTTCATAAATTACTAAACCTTAAAGACAGCCAAATGAATAGCATTCATTTGACAGAAAACATATGGAGCCGTTTTGTATTAAATGATTTAACTCCATTCATAACATAACTTATCGGTATTCTTCCATTCTGAATTTCCTAAAAGAAATTAGTATGCCCCACAGGACACATATCTCAAGGTTTATTGCATTCAAGAACCTGCTTTAATTAAGAAATTCCTTTAATTAATGCTCACTTTGATCATTCCATAGGTTGTTTATGGTTTAAGGAAACAAATCAGGAACATCATTTATATAGATATAATTCTAAATAAAATAGACTCAAAATTAATAATTACAAATGCATAAGCAAGACAAGTGGTGAAAACAGGTAAAGAAAATTAATTATCTATTTTTCTTTCAGTGAAGATAGAGTGAAACAAATTTTATTATAGTATTATAAAGGGAAGACTATGTTTACCTTTTCACATTGGTCACTACATGACCAGTGATCAGAAGCCACTCTACATTCCATGCCTTTCTGCTTCAAGCATGCGTCATGGTCTATCATAGTTATCAAGACAATCCAGTAACAAAATAAAAGTCAAGAAAAACACTAACTTACCACAAAATGGAAAAAGGAAAATAAGATATAGAAATCCATAGGGAAAGAATAATGACTCGTTGTGAAGTGAAACAATCATGGGAGAGCAATCTTACATTGATGTTCGCATTGTATACACTGTTGCGCATTAGTGAATGCAGAAGCTTCAAAACAAGATATCCTCTCATTCCGTTGAAGAGAAAGCAGTACTTCTTAAACTGCAGAAGTCGTAACTAAACTAAGTAGAAGTAGCACTATATTTAATATATGCAAGAGCTGGCATCCCATGAGACGATGATAGTTTTAGCCATTTTTCTAATACTTTTTAGCGTGACAGTTTTATTTATATGAAAGTTTTCTAAAAATTATCACATTTTTAACGTGAAACAATCTCACGTTGTTTTTTATAGTTTTATTTGCAAACCTAATACTTAAATGAGACAAAACAAGTGTTTTTTGTTTATTGAACAATGGAATTAGGATCCAATACATACAAGACGTAGATGCTAATATATGAAGCAACCTTCTTATTGAACTTAGGAATTGAGATCCTACACACAAGACATATATACTAATATATGAAACAGTTTTCCTAGTTTCATAATTCATAGTACACTAATTAAGTATATTCTATTATTATTAGTATAAATTCTACTTGACTTGCCATATATATATATATATATTCTATAACTGTATCCTATTACCATATATTTCACTCCTCTCAAGTTAG